TGCTTTGTGGTCCCATATGAACAGTCCATGCCACTATTGCTACTGCAGATGGGCCAGTAACAACCATCCACTAGCTGGAAGATTTGTTTCTCATTGAGTGACACATCATTGATGTCACAGAGTTCCTGTACCTTCAAAAACAATCAGGAGAGGGTAGGTAGGCTTGGAATCTTCACTGTGTCTTAGTGGGCTGTGATCAAACAGGTTGCTTCAAGTATAAGATGTCATTTTCTCAGGAGGGTGTGGTAACCCAGGTGCATGCAGTTGTCAGAACTCATCAAATGTATACCTACAAGCTACACCTTTTATTGAATGTAAATTATATCCAAATTGTAAAAGGAAACTAATCAAAACTAGGACAGGAGGCCAGAGAAGACCAGGGGCTCCTGAGAGTCATCAGTCTTCATGGGAGGAGAGGTGAGAATGGGGAGGAAGTTTAGCAAGAATGCATCATCTCAATGTGATAACAAGGAAACATCAAACAAACGGCAAATGAGGAAGGTTTTATTCATAAGAAGGGAGGCAGCACACTAATAAAAAATGCTGGTGTCGTTAAAAGGAAGAAAAGCTGTAGAAATGATCCAGATTAAAGGAACTAGGGGCACCTGGCTGGCTCAGTCGGCAGAGTGTGACCCTTGATCTTGGGGTCATGAGTTCCAGCCCCAGGTTGGGTGTGGTGCTTACTAAAAACAAAAATAAATAAAGGAACCTGAAGAATCATGACGACTAAGTGCAGTAACTGGCTGGACTAGATCCTGCACTAGTGAAGGGAGGAATGCCAAACAGGTCAGTACAAGATCAAGTGGTAACTTGAGTATAGCTAGTACATTAGGTAAAGGTATTGTCAGCATATATTATGAGACTGATAACTACTCTGGCATTTAAGGCAGTATCCTTATTGTTAGGCAACAATTACTGAAGGATTTAGGGGTAAAGAACCATTCAGTATCTAACCCTGAAATGGTTCAGAAAATAATGTAATGTACATATGTGTGAAAAAGATATGCATGTGTATACAGAGAATTTCCTTATTGCTTACCTTGGGGAAAAGGATTAAAAAAAAACACACACGCAAGTTTGGGTCTTGTTGACAAAGCCAGTTCAAAGTTTATCAGATGTTTTTCCAACATTGGCACTCCCACACAAGGAAGATTTTTATGAGGATCTTTCTTATCAGTAAAACTCCTGAAAGCCAAGTCATACCCATACCTCATTCATGAAACCCTTGATTCCAGGTCAGGTCACTGATCTTGGAGATGAACACAGCCCAGGCAAAGTTTATGCACTGGGACGGGGACATCTGTTCAGTGAGAAGGGAGAGGGGAGAGAGAGAGAGAGTGCACTCAAACCATAAAACAAATGAGGTAAAATGTTAACATTAGGTGAATCCAGGGAAAGGATGTATAAGGGTGTTCTCTGTATTAAGTTTTCTTTTTTGCCCTTTTTTACAAGCTGGAAATTATTTCCAAATAAGTTTGTGTGTGTGTGTGTGTGTGTGTGTGTGTGTGCTTTAACGCTGGGGATGAGGGAGCTAGAAGGAGTTCCAGTGGCTTTGTGTTCAGAAGGAGCTGGCTGCCAGTTAGACTCATGTTAGTATTCCAGAGGATGGCAATCCCCATGACAATTATATTGCTTTAATAGCCATAAATGGAGAATTCTTAAGCAGTAAATACTAGATTGCTTATATAACAAACATGGGAGACTATCAGAGAAGTTCCTTATTGCTTATCCTAGGAAGAAAAGGGGAAAAAAGTACAGGTGTTTTGTTGATAAGGCATGTTGGAGGTTGGGCAAGTATTTTTTTCACATTTGTACCTCTACATAAGCAGAATATTATCAGGACACTCTCCTTCAATCAGTAACTTCTGAGAGCCACATCCTTCCAGTAGTTGATTCATGAAAACCTTGACTCTTGGGTCAGGTCAGTGCTACTTGGACATGAGCATGACCCAGGTAAAGTTGAGATGTTGGGACAATTACATCTATTCTGTTTCATCCCAGAATTTCCCAGGGTGACACTGGCAGCATCATAGTGGATTTGAGAAAGGAAGGGGTGGGCAATGATATCTCAGTGGACTTTCAAAGACCACAGTGTCTGATCTTGCTATGAGCTCAGAGGCCCTTTGCCCCCAGGGGTGGCCACCACACTTGCTCCCTTCCTGGGGGATCTGCTGTGGCAGTGAACAGGACTCAACCTCCTGCCCATGCTGTAGTTGGCTGAATGCACAAGTCTGTAATTAGTCTCTTCCCCTTGCACAAAAAGGAAATACAGGATTCATTTGTCCAAGCACACTTCCCAGGCAAATAGGAATCTCCCCCTCTACCTTACCTCCTTCTGGGATGAGCAGAAAGACAGGTTGTACTTGACTCTCAGATCTTCAGTTTGGACTATAGAATCATGAACCTGAATCTTTGCTCCTAACCTTTCATTGGATAAGGATGGGACTGTTTGGGAAACTTGGAAATTCAGCTGTTCAGTAATGAAAGTTATTGCCTCTTTGTCAGCATGTGCAAAACCAAAGTGAGATGCCACATACAGGGAACTAAACCCAGGTCGTAACATAGGTGTGTGTCACAGGGAAGCTTCATTCTGTTTCTTTCCTGGCCGTACCATGTTGGTTCCTCAAGAACGGAGTGTTGAAAATAAGAGTGCACTGCATCAGCCCTGGGACTGGGGGGCCTCTCTGGTCAGGAGTCAAAGCTGAGATAAAGCGTCCACAGCTGGGGAGATGAGCATCAGAGAAGGAGACGGGAGCCTGGTGGAAGGATTAAAAGGAAGAGACAGAGTCACTGCTTGCTAGCCAAGGCTGGAGGGACAGCATGTCCAGCCCTCCAGCCCATGTATCCTCCCAATTCATGCCAATCATCTCAGTCTCAGTAATGATCTGTGGGTAAATTATTCTCCCCCTACAGTGTTCCTAGTACCATGCTCAGCACTTTATAATATTGCCTTATGCATACTGACCTGTTCTCTTCTTTTTCCTTTAGAAATGTTTGCTGCTTTATTAAGAAATGATTGACATATAACATTGTGTAAGTTTAAGGTATACAACTTGATTATTTAAGATGCATGTGTATTGTGAAGTGGTTACCAAGGTAAGGTTAGTTAACACATTAGTCATATCCTATAGTTACCCTGTGTGTGTGTGTGTGTGTGTGTGTGTGTGTGTGTAGAGAACTTTTAAGATCTACTTTCTTAGCAACTTTGTATGCAATAAGTAGTTGGCCCATTATCTTTTTTTCTTTTTAAGATTTTATTTACCTATTTGACGGAGAGAGAGATCACAAGTAGGCAGAGAGGCAGGCAGAGAGAGAGGGGAGAGCAGGCTCCCCGTGGAGCAGAGAGCCCAATGTGGGGCTTGATCTCAGGACCCTGAGATCATGACCTGAGATGGAGGCAGAGGCTTAACCCACAGAGCCACCCAGGTGCTCCTGGGCTATTGTCTTTTTAAAGTTAAGGAACCAAAGGCTGAAAAATGTGGCCTACCAAGGTTGAGAAGTTATTAAGTAGTGGGTTTTGGATTTGGAACCAGAACAGTCTGGGTCCAAATCTCATATGCTTTTTTTTTCCCTTACTTTTTTTTTTTTTTTTTGGTTAACATGTAATGTATTATTTGCCCCAGGGGCACAGGTCTGTAAATCATCAGTCTTACACATTCCACAACACTCACCATAGCACATACCCTCCCCAATGTCCATCACTCCACCACCCCATCCCTACCCCACCACCACCCCCGCAACCCTCAGTCTGTTCCGTGAGATTAAGAGTCTCTTATGGTTTGTCTCCCTCCCGACCCTACCTTGTTTCATTTTTTCCCTCCCTACCCCCCAAAACCCCCCTGCCCTGCCTCTCATTTCCTCTTATCAGAGAGATCATATGATAATTGTCTTTCTCTGATTGACTTATTTCATTTAGCATAAGACCCTCTAGTTCCATCCATGTTGTTGCAAATGTTTCATTTCTTTTGATGGCTGTGTAGTATTCCATTGTATATGGAATATACATATACCACATCGTCTTTATCCTTTCATCTATTGATGGACATCTAGGTTCTTTCTGTAGTTTGGCTATTGTGGACATTGCTGCTATAAACATTCGGTGCACGTGCCCCTTTGGATCACTACGTTTGTATCTTTAGTGTAAATACCCAGTAGTGCGATTGCTGGGTCATAGGGTAGTTCTATTTTCAACTTTTTGAGGAACCTCCATGTTGTTTTCCAGAGTGGCTGCACCAGCTTGCATTCCCACCAACACTGTAGGAGGGTTCCCCTTTCTCCGCATCCTCACCAACATCTGTCATTTCCTGACTTGTTAATTTTAGCCATTCTGACTGGTATGAGGTGGTATCCCATTGTGGTTTTGATTTGTATTTCCCTGATGCCTAGTGCTGTGGGGCACTTTTTCATGTGTCTGTTGGTCATTTGGATGTTTTCTTTGCAAAAGTATCTATTCGTGTCTTCTGTCCATTTTTTTATTGGATTATTTGTCCTTTGGGTGTTGAGTTTGATACGTTCTTTATGGATTTTGGATACTAGCCCTTATACAACTGACAGAACGGGAGAAGATATTCATATGTTTTTTTAACCACACCGTGCACAACTACACACATGCACATACACATACAGAGTACATTGAGTTTGCAACCTGTGCTTCGGGGAAGAGTTTGGTACAGCTTGTTCATCTTTGATCTTGGACATTCCACAGTCACTGCTGCCTACAAAGACATAGCGGTGGTTGACCAAAAGCCCTTCAGGCACCTGGTGCTTTCTCACCCAGCAGGCATAGTCTCCTGTCTGGCTGTACAGCTGGCTGCACATCTTGGCCTTCCTGCTGGGGCTTGAGAATCTCGGTATGAACTGCTAGGGTCAGAAGTTTTGGTAAAAACCAACAGGGCATGGGAGTGAAAATTGTCGATGGGCCAGGCTAGCTCCAGCGCTGGAGATGGGCCAGTCTCTTGCCCCCTGGGTCACTTTTCATCTTCTCCTCCCTGTCTTTGCAGCCAACCTTGGTTTGAAACCCAGGGCAGTGGCTCTTGGGGTACAGCCCATTTACCAGGGACCTGTGCATTGCATCACAACCATCGTGCGGACTGAGGGCCTGGCAGGGATGTACCGGGGCGTTGGTGCCATGCTGCTGAGGGATGTCCCAGGCTACTGCCTCTACTTCATCCCCTATGTGTTCCTGAATGAGTGGATCACACCTGAGGCCTGCACAGGCCCCAGCCCCTGTGCCGTGTGGCTGGCCGGTGGCATGGCAGGTAAGGACAGCCGTACTGACCCCTGTCCCTGGGCTGACCCTTGTCCTGGGATGACTGGGAGGCCTATCATGCCCTTCTCAGCCCAGGAAAGGGCACAATTCATCTAGCCACTCATCCAACAATTCTTTATTCAGCGCCTACTATGTGCCAGACCGAGCCAGTCAGAGAAAAGCCTGGGAATGGGGAATGGTCTCCCTCTTTTTTGCCTCTCCTTTCCTCTGGATCTGTGGGAATGGCAAGTTCCCATTCAGGATTGTGGAACTTCCAGTCAGAAGATGTACTCTGACCCTTTCTTCTATGTTAGGTATTACTGAGCTTTGAAGAGGAAATCTGTTATTGGGGTTCACCGTTTTTGAATGTTGACACAGCAAACCCTTTCTAAAGTGAGAATTTCATTAACTCTTTAAGGGAAGAATCGGTCTTCCCATTTTTGAGATGAGAAAACTGAGGTTCAGAGAGATTAAGTGACCAACCCAAGGGCACACAGCTAATTAAGACAGCATAGCAGGGACTCTGCAGTCAGCAAGATCCCAGTTCAAATCCTCTCCTACTCATTTGGTGACCATGGGCTGGTTACTCACCCTCCCTATTCAGAAACCACACAGTATCTCCACTTCATTTTGGGTAAAAATCAGTGTTCTTACAGTGGTTTTCAGTCCCTTTGTGATCCAGCTGCCTGTTACCCTTCTGCAGTCTTTTTCTGCTCCTCTCCCCTTGCTTGCTCTGCTCTAGCCAGACTGGTCTCCTTGCTTCACCCTGACCATGCCTGGCTTCTCCCCACCTCAGGGCCTTTGCACTTGCTATACTTGCTGCCTGGATTTAGCAATAGGTAGGTTGTCAGGGACTGTGACAAGACCCATTTTGGTGAAGAGAGGGGAGGAAACACCCAACTGAAGTGGGACTAGGAGAGAATGGGATGAAAGAAATTGGACAGTCTGAGGACACACAACATGTCTGAGGGGTTTAGCTGTGCTGTGATGGGAGAGTGGTATGCAGCTATCTCCAGAGAAAGGTAGGGAAATCAAGAGAGGGATGCTTTTTAAAAAGACTGATAACACAGCAGGTGTGATATTGATGGGAAAGATCTTCTGGAAAGAAGAAAATTGATATTCCTCCTCCATTTCCCCCGCCCCCATATCATCATCATTAGCTATGCTCAAAACTCAGCAAACACATAACAAAGCCCATTTCTTACCTGCCAAACACCAGTATCTGCCCTCTGCCCTCATGTGTGTGAGGTCCAGCCTCTGCCAGATCCTAGTAAGTGCTTACTAAGCACTCTCTGGCTGAGAGGACAAGGCCCCAACCATTCTCCATTCTGGTGAGAGCAGGTTTGAGTGGTCTGGTAGGTAGACTACATTTTGTATTGCCCTTGCCCATGGGCTGAGGAACAGGAGAGTATGCCAGGGAGTACATGGACAGACTCTAGGGGAAGCAGCCCCATTATCTGGCAGGAGGCAAGAGGGAAGAGAGGTGTAGAGGATTCCCAGAGGATCATGGGCAGGAGGCCATGGTGGCTGGAGGCTGGGATGGGCAGTGGGTCCAGGACAGGCTAAGGCATCGTTTGCGAGTCTCTGGACAGCAATTACTAAACTTTGCAAACCAGCTGCCCTGGACTTTGGCATCAGTTTTTTTTCTCTTCCTGTCTAAGGATGTGCCAATTTTCATGTTTATACAGTAACCTGGCATTGTTTTCCTAGAGTCCTTTAAAGTTACAGAAGTGCACAAACTAGGGCACCCGAGCTTCTCCAGTAAGGATGACTCAGTGTTACATCGTCCCAAAGCTTCAGTTTCAGATATCCAGAAAAGTGACCAGATTTGTAAGGACCTTCCTGCTCTTTCCAGTCCTTACTTGGCCCTTCACTGGCAAGCAGCCTATCTGCAAGTGTTTGTTTAGCTTCTCTGTATTCAGAGTCCCTTCTGTTTCTAGGGAGCTGCAAGCCTTGCGCCACAGCCTTTGCTCTGGGCTGTGGCCCTTGGTGCCCTGGAAAGGCACTGCCAAGGATTGGTGGGACCTATTCTTCTCTCTTCAGTAAAAGCTGCCAATAAAGTCATCTGGACAAAGCGCTGGCTGTGGGCCTGGCACTGTGCTCAATTCTTTGTGTGCATCTGTTTATTCGTCCTAACAGGAACCCCATGAAGGTCGGTACTGTAGGCCCAGAGGAGGAGACTTCTCTAAAGTTCCACAGTGAATGGTGAGGGAAGTTCAGGGATGGCCTTCACAGGTCCTGACTGAGCTCTTTCCACATCCCCCAGCAGCCTGTTAAGCCTGTAAATGATGGAAAGGGGCAGGGAGCCATGTCCCTAGCAGATCCCAACCAGTCAGTCCCTCACACCTGTTTGTCTCTCTCTTTACAGGAGCAATTTCTTGGGGGACGGCAACTCCTATGGATGTCGTGAAAAGTCGACTCCAAGCTGACGGGGTTTATTTAAACAAATACAAAGGTGTCCTGGATTGTATCTCCCAGAGTTACCAGAAGGAAGGTCTTAAAGTAAGCCCCACAGTGGTGACACGGGGTCATGTCAGTCCCGGGAAGGTGGGCCAGACATTTTGGGGGATATGAGATTATAGAGGGGAATCAGGAAACTGAAGTTCTGGCAGTTACCACATCAAGCCCTACTTAGATCCTTGTCTCATCTAGTCCATGCCCCAGGTTGGTGGAAGAGACAAGCTCAGAGAGGGCTGGTAACCTATCTGAGGTCACACAGCTGGTGCATGGAAGAACCAGGACCTAGAGCCACATCTCCCTGTCACCAAAGCTTGCTTTCTCATCAGGAAAGGCTTAAAGGTGCTTCCTCACTCAGTACTTGGTGCCTCATCCTCCAAGTAGGGGGTCCCAGAGCCACGTTGGTCATCACATCTCACATAGTCTAGTCCCCTGGTCTGTCTTCTTCTCTCTTACCCCACTCGAGTCCACATCCTGTCACCTTTGGTCTCAGTTATGGGGCAGCCTGCAACTTGGCCTTGCTCCCTTTCTCTTTCCTCCTCCCTGCACCAAAAGGCTTGTCTAAATCAAGCCCCTTCTGGTGTCTGAACTGTCCTAAGATGACAACCGGAATTCCAAGTTTGGCATCTAAGGCTATAAACAAAATCCTCTCTGTCTATATTGCCACCTGTGATAACTCCTAGTATCCTCCAGAGAAACCGTCATGCATATTCTACCTCTGGGGGCCCTCCCCAGGTTTCTTGGCTTCCCCCTTCAAGTCAGCAGACTCAAGTTAAAGCCAGCCTGGCTACTCATGAGCTGGGGGAGGTCCAGGCAAGTTGTTTCACCTCTGGGCCTCCATTTCTCCAAGGATAATCATCCCTACCATGAACAACAGGGATATTTGCTAGTAGGATTAAATTAGGCATCTAAAAAGTACTTAGCTTTATGCATTACATACAGAGTATATTTACAAAGAGTTAAGCATTGTTCTTGGCTTTACTATTAGTGTTAGTAGTTTCACTAGTGTTGGTGTTACTACTGGACGCTGGACCTTTCTTCACATGGCTGCCTCATCCCCAGCCCTCCAGTCTTGGCTCACTATCCACTCCAGTACATCCAGACTCTCTCTCTCTCTCTCTATTTTTCTCACTCTCTAACACAGACACACACACACACACACGCACACACACACACACACGCTGGCCAAGTCCTTTTTCTCCAGATGCTCCCAGGCTGCAGCTGAGATGGGCTAGAGCCAGTCCATGGGCTGCTGAAGCTCCCACTGCCAGTACTGAGGTCTCTCTGCCTAGTCCCTGATACACAGGTGGGCAGGACTCTTGCATCCATCGGGATGTGCTCCTGGATCCCAGAACTCCCACAGAGGCACCTGTGTGAGTGGATGGATGCCCAATTTATGTTGTTGGGGTGGGGACAAGATAAGGACATTTTATACTGTCCTGTTGCTGATGTCACTCTCATCATTAATTCACCTTTACTGAGCTCTTTGTTTCTTTATACAGATTCAGGTTACTCTCTAGTGCTGTTTCATTTCACCCTCCACAGCCCCTTCGAGCATTTCTTGCAGGGTAGACCGAGTGGTGATGAACTTCCCCGGCTTTTGTTTATCTGGGAATAAACCTGGGAATAAGACCTTCAGTCTCAAAGCATAGTTTTCCTGGATACAGGATTCTTGACTGACATTTTTTTCTTTTAGCTCTTTGGCTATGTTGGCCTGTTGACTTCTGGTCTCTAAAGTGTCTGATAAGTAATCTGCTATTAAACCTATTGAGGATTATTTATAATGTGCTCCTTCTATCTTGCTGCTTTCAAAAGTTTGATTATAATGTGTCTTGATGTGGGTTTCTTTGAGTTTATTTTACTTGGAGTCATTAAGTGTCTTTGATGTTTATAGTCCTGTCTTTCCCCAAACTGTGGAAGTTTTTGGCTATTACTACTCCAGACATTCTCTGCCCTCTCTTCTCCTTTTGGGACTCCCATAATGCATACATTTGTTTTCTTAACAGTTTTCCACAGATCCCCTAGGCTCTTTTCACTGTTCTTCAATTTTGTTTCTTTTTCTCAACTGCAGTAATTTCCATTGTCTTATTCTTAAGTTTGCTCATTCTTTTTTCTGCCTGCTCAAATATACCTTTGAATCCTTTTAGTGAATTTTTCATTCCAGGTACTGTGCTTTTCAGCTAAAGAATTTTTGTCTGGTTTCTTTCTAGATTTTTTTATTTCATATTGATGTTTTCATTTTGTTCGTGTATCATTTTCTGGACTTTCTTCATCTCTTCCTTTAGTTTTTGAAGCATCTTTAAGATAGTTCCAAAGTCTTTGTCAGCTTGATCTGCTGTCAGGTCTTTTTCAGGGACAGTTTCTCTTGATTTATTTTTTCTTTGAATGGACCATACATTCTTGTTACATTTTATGCCTTGTTATTTTTTATTGAAGATTAGACTTTTATTTAATTATGAATTTAATTTAATTATGTGTTAACTCTGGAAATCAGATTTCTCCCCTCTTTCCCCAGTGTCTGGTAGGTTTTATTATTGTTTTTGTTTATTGTTTCACTTTTCAGATTGTCATAGGCTGTCTTTTTGCCAAAGATTAGCCCAAAGTGTAAACTTAAGGTCTTCTGAGTTCTTTTCTGAGCCTTTCTCTGGGAATGCACGGTTACTTTGCAATTTTCCCATACATGAAGTTGCTTTTGAATGTCCTAGTATTTAACATCTAGCTTCCAAAAAGAAAAGAGAAAAAGGAAGGAGAAAAATGACAAGGGAAAGGGGCATTGGCCAGAGGAGGAAGGACTTGCATCAGTTGGGGTAGAAGAAACAACCATGGCTACTTTCCTCTTTGCACTTCTGTGATCAGAAACAGCAATCAATGATCAAAACACATATCTCCAATATTTGCAAGACAGGGTCCTTATTGTCCACTCTGGCTTCCATAGTCTGTTGTGCAGATTGCTCCTAGAGCATGTGTGCACCTGCTGCCACAGGTCTGGGGGTGGAGGATGGGTAGCTCCTACCTTGCTATGAGCTTAAATGGACTGAAATTAACCAGATTTACTGTCCAAACCTTCTCCTGGAAGTTGTAAACCTCTAACAAACCCCAGAATTCCAAAATAGTTACATCAGGTGGATTCTGTCAATGCATCTCTTATCTAGGTAAGGAAGGAGACTGCTAGCATTTTCGATTCTGCCACCTTCCTAGAATCCTCACCTCACTTGTTTTTTGTATTATTGTAGTAGAGGCACAATTTGTGAAGGGTACAGAGGGACATGTGAGAGACAGTCAAACAGGATGCTCTTTTATTTTATATATTCTTGTCTGCTCTTAATTAAAATATTAATATGTCAAGTTACTCAAATTAATGTGTCAAAATATTAATGTGTCCTAATCCTATAAAGTCTACAGAGTCTTAATATATTGCTTATATTATTTCATCCAAAAATTACTGTGCTCTGTTAAGAACAAGGTCCTGGAGGTGCCTGGGTGGCTCAGTGGGTTAAAGCCTCTGCCTTCAGCTCAGGTCATGATCCCAGAGTCCTGGGATCAAGTCCCGCATCGGGCTCTCTGCTCGGCGGGGAGCCTGCTTCCTCCTCTCTCTCTGCCTGCCTCTCTGTCTACTTGTGATCTCTATCTGTCAAATAAATGAATAAAAAAAAAAAAAGAACAAGGTCCTGGTAGGCAACTGAGGTCAGATGATTGATTTCTTAATCTCTGTAGCATTGGTCCATAGTTTATATTCAGAGACAGGTTTTAGATAGAAGTAGCAGTATTCAGCTTGGATTAACCACTCACTGACTGCAAGTCATTTTTAATTTTTTTATTAGTTGGTTTTAATATAGATAATGTATGAACATAGGAAGTTTCAAAAGGTAAAAGAGGATATAAGGCCAATTGGCCCTCCTTGGTCTTCAGTCTTCTCTCAAAGGCAATCACTGTTGTGAGTTTCTTCTAATGTATTCCAAAAACATTCACATACTGTGCAAGCTTATATGTGGATAGTTATATTTATATATGTTTATATATGTGTTTGCATGTAAACACAAAGAGTAACGTGACGACAACATCCCACATAGCCCTGTACAGCTGGCTAGTCTCCAAATCCTTCCCAGCAGCAGGAGGAATGGCTTTTCTGGGGGCCCAGTAGATGGCTCCTGTCACAGCTGGCTCTGTGGTGCATCCATTCCCAAACTATTTGTACCATGGCACACTGAGGCAGGGTAAGCCAACCTGTCCCCACCTCCCTATGGAAGGAAAACTCAGTGAGGATAAAGGTTGAAGAAGGAGTAGAATAATGGTGATTGTACCCAGTCACTGCCAAGTTTGGCAGTTCTTTGTAACTCACTTCATGATTACCAGGAAAGCAGCCTTTTTGATAAAGGGAATTAGAAGTCTAGGACTTTGGGGGCATTCCCAAATCAAAAAAGAAGTCTGTTCTCTGCCTGCCGTGACATTCGTCATGGGTTACTTGGGCCATTGCACACCCTGGGAGAGTTACCATCAAGATCAGGAGGCCAGAAGACGGAGTTGGTATCCTTCAGCTGCACGGAGGTGGCTGTTGGGAGGGGGCTTGTGACAGCGGCTTGAGACTGAACTTGAGAATAAGGAGAGGTGGAGAGGAACATCTGTAGAAGCCATTTCCTGAGGTAGCAGAGCTGGCTGCCATTTGGTTCTGCCATCTGGGGGCCAGGGCTGTCCCTCCATTCTCAGAATCCCCCACTACCACTAACCTCAGCAAGACTCTTTGAGCTCAGCGACTATTCCCTTTTCACAACAAGGAATTTGTTCATTCCATCCATCCATTCGTCCATCCACTGATTCATTTATAAGATTTATAAAGGGCCCTCTGGGCCAAGAAAAGCACTAGATGCTGGGGGTTCTGAAGTATAAATGTTGGGGACTCAGATGTGTAAATGCTGGGGGTTCCAAGGTAAACCACACAGAGCTCTGCTGTCACTGCCCTGACTGAGATTAACAGGGATTCAGACAGATGATGTGTAGTTAGGGACAGTGTGAGAAGTGCTGTGATGGCAGAGATTCTGAGTGCACAGAAGACAGCAGGCCACAGTCCAGCTTGGAGTGGCCCTGGGAAGACTGCTAGAGGATATAGCCAGGCCTGGGGAACATTCCAGCAGACGGAACAGAAGACACCCAGTTGGTGGAAGAGAGCTGGCTTCTTGGAGGAATAACAGGTTGTTAACTTGCCCAGAATTTCAGGTGTAAGAGGCTTCCCAGAGAAAGTGCAGGGCCCAAGCATAAGGGTCTTGGCTTAAGGATGTAGACTTCCCTGGGAAGTGGGGAGCCATCGAGGCTCCACGAGGAAAGACCAGCTCTGGTGGTTTTGTGTTCCAAATCTCAGGGTAGGGGTGCCTGGGTGGCTCAGTGGGTCAAGCCTCTGCCTTCGGCTTGGGTCATGATCTCGGGATCCTGGGATCAAGCCCCACATCAGGCTCTCTGCTCAGCGGTGAGCCTGCTTCCCCCTCTCTCTGCCTGCCTCTCTGCCTGCTTGTGATCTCTCTCTCTCTCTCTGTCTGTCAAATAAATAAGTAAAATCTTTAAAAAAAAAAAAAGCTCAGGTTAAAAGCCAGCATGTCTGCACCTTGCCATCTCTGGGCCTCAGAGCAGAGAAGGCCAGGGCTGCTGGAAGGAGGTCGTGTCTATATGTCTGGAGTGTTCTGTGGTTCCTGTAGGGCCCAGCGCTGTGGGAGAGGAGGGCCACACGCCAATCTGGGCCCTGCCTGGCTCAGCCTCACAGAGCAGAGCCAAGCGCAGGCCCACAAGGGAGTGTTTATGAGCACCTAGCATGGAATTTTCCTTTTGGAGCTTGGGCCAGTTCCTTGTTGTTATATAGTCACTCTGGGTGAGCCTGGGAATTCCAGAAAGGTTAGACATTAGATGCTACAAGTGTCCTGCTTGCCCCTTGACTGAATCAGTCCTGGGTTTAGCTGAGCCACTTGCTCCCTTTTGGGGATCCTTGTCCATCAACTCCCTTCCCTGTGAGGTTCAAGACTCCCCCCAAACCCACAAAGGCCCTTCTCTCCCCATCACAACCAGGCTATGTCTTGCAGGCTGATACAGAGTACTAGGGGGCAGAAGCCTCGCCTGAAGGAAGACATCCTGCTGTCCTGGCCGGTGACGGTGGCCTGTACCTACCCTCACACCACAGTGCCTCACAACCAAGAAAACTAGGGAAATGTACAAGGGCTGGATTTCTACTTCTTAAAAATTTCCATACCAGCTCTATTTATTACACCTAGTAAATATACAGGAGTCAGCTAACAGGTGTACAGCATATTCCTGACATTTGCTGGGTCATTTATGCTTGGGTAGTGTTTCCCTTAGATGTGTTGTCTCTTCCCAGGGAAGACATTCAAGGACAGGCTCTCCCCACCTCCCCCCACCCCAAAGCCCTGATCTATTCTTATCACATTCTAGACTGTATTGTAATAATTCCCACATAGGGCTTATCTCTCCCTGGTAGGTTTTAAACCAGGCAAGGGCTGGAACCATATTACACTGATCAACTTCTACCCAGCACTGGGCAGGAAGATTCAGAGAGGGAGTGAGACATCTTATCATCTGCCCTCGCAACAGAAGGGATGGAAGACAGATACAGGGTTCTTGTATGAATGGCTAGTTAAGCAGCTCATCGATAGAGGCCAGTACTCTCAGCACTCATACTGATGATTGAAGATTGACGGCCCTTCTGTGTAAAGATGGCTACTGAGAACGAGGGTGAGGGGACCGTCAGCTTTCCAGGAGCGCTGGCTGCGTGGCAGGCATGTACAAGAGCTTTGAAAGCAGCATCTCGTTTATTCCTTCAGCAGCCATATTTGCTCAGTAGTATCGTTACCCCTATTTTGCCATTGGGAAGTTGAGTTCCAGAGACTTCGCCATTTGCCCAAGTAACACAGCTGTTAAATGCCAAAGCTGTGTCTCCGGTTCGTATCTACAGTCTTAAAAGTGTGGCCTGAGTTCTTCCTCACTCTGCCCCTTGGAGGACACCCTGTCAAAATGGTCGGTCCTGACTGGGTGCTCTGTCTACAATTGCAAAGTGAGGGCAGTCCAGAGCTCCGATATCCAGGTTCCAGAGAATTTGGTGCTTGCATGCATGTGTGTCTGTGTGTGTGTGTGTCTGTGTGTGTGTACATGTGCAGGTGAGTATATACATGAGAAAGAGCAGCAATTAAGCAAGTGTATGTGGGTGCCCGTGGTGAACAGTTTGCCCATAGTATTTAGTGTATGTGTACAAGGCTGGGCTGGAAAAGCCCAGTCACAGGTGATGTGGGTCAAGGCAGAGGCATGACTGGGGCATCTGGGGTGGTTTTGGCTCACCAGGGTCCTTTGGGCTCTGTGGAGCCCAGCCTGGGACAAGTGGCCAACATCCCCAGTCCTTCCTCCACACCTCAGTGGTGGCCCTACAGGGGGTCTGGATCAGTTCTCTGTGATAACACTGCCTCCTGCCACAGGTGTTTTTCAGAGGCATCACAGTGAACACCGTGCGTGGCTTCCCCATGAGCGCCACCATGTTCCTTGGGTATGAGCTTTCACTGAAGGCGATCCGTGGGGACCACACCGTGCCCAGCCCCTGAGCGCCAGGTCAGTGTGCTTCCTTCCCAGCCAGCTGCACCTCCCCAGGGCTTGACACTCTCTGCTTTGCCATGAACACTTGACTTTCTGAAACCTCCCTGTCATTCATTTCTTTTCTAATCTCTGTCATTTCTGGGGCTACAATGGCCACCCTTCTTGTCATCAGAAGACCCTTCTGAAATGCCCACCTGTGGCTGGTAGTGAGCGGGTGCCCAGTAACTGAGATCGGCACAAAATTTACCTGTTGATAGTGGGCTCACCGATCTGTTTTCCCATCCAGCAGTGTCAGCAGCCCTTGGAGAGAAGTGTACTTCACTTTACTATACAAATTCAATGGGTGAGGCCCAGAAGTGAGGACTTAAACCACACTGTCCACCCTCTGTTACAGACATCATCTCCCCACCTCCCTTCTGGACTCAGAGCATGAGTCTGAGAGCCACCAGTGGCTCCCAAAGCCCTGGAGGACAGCCTTTGCCCTGGGTCCCTGCCTCCTACTCCCTTTCTTTCTTCATCTCTCATTGCAAAAGATCACTGCAGCCCAAGGGATCTAAGAAACGAAATCTGAGCAAGTGACTCCCTTCGTCAAATGCCCTCAGTGGCTCCCCATTGCTCTTTAGGTAAAGTTTTAGTCATCAACCCCGTCACCACCAGCATCCTGAAAATCACATTCTTACTCTTGCCTCTGGGTCTTTGCACAAACTCTCCCAACCTCACACCATCTTGTCACGCCCCACCCCATCCCCCTTGTCCTTCACCAACTCTTCTTTGTCATCCAGGCTTTAGTCTACAAGTCTTTTCCTCCAGGAAGCCTGCCCTTATGCCTCAGCCAAGATGAGTTGTGCCTGCTGTAGGCTCTCCCCTGCAGCCCCTGCTCAGCCCCTACCACATCCCCTTGCATCATAACTGCCTGATGACTTTCCTCACTCCCCAGCCAGCGTGAAAGTCCTGGGAGAGCTGTGACTGTTTCTTCACTTCTCTATTGCTCGTGCCTCGCATGGAACCTGATACTGAGACAGCCACTCAGAAACATCATTGAGAAGATGGACAATCAACTTCCAGTATCCCCTCAGCTCCTTCTCTTCTCTTCCTCCCTGTTTCTCCTTCTCTGGCTCCACAGTGGTAACTGCAGACCTGAGAAGACAAAGGGGAATGAGTCAGTGAATTTTCTAGTCAACAAGAAACCATTTTGCTTCGGCCTTGGTGACCGCAAATTCTGACAAGAAGGATGGCCTTCGTCAGAAAGGTCTAGCAAACCTCCCTGCTGTTGCCTCTGGGGCAGCAAAGGCCTGCTGGCATGTGTGAATGGGACCAGACCCTAGACCCAGGGGAAGGGCATGATGGATGAGGCCAACAAGACTGAGCCCAGGACAAGCCCTGGAACGGCGGCTTCATATCAAATGCTTTAGCTTTTCACTAAAGCACCCCCATTCACGGCTCTCTTGGCTCTTCTCCCTCTCTTACAAAAGGAAAAGAGGAGTCACACATTTTGCATACTTAAACATCTTGAGTGAAGCACTACTGTCCTTGGGTTTTGTCTGGGGCAAGGCAGAGGAATAGTCTGGTTCTCAAAGCTGTGCTCAGATACTGGCCACTCTCCCTGTGACCAGAAGAGAGTGGCTTTCCAAAAAATCCTGTAATAAAATCAGTGCCTCTTTACTGTCGGGAAAAAAAAAAAAAAACAACAACAACAACAGAAAATATAAACAGAACAAAATAAAACGCCTATTTTATGCAATATTTTATTACTCGTTCTTCCTATTTAAGAGCTCAGGACCGTCTTTCTATGTGGTTAAATATTCAGCAGCAAGGTGGCTTGGGAGCCAAGATCTGGCAGCTCCTCCAGGAAGCTTGCCTGAGCTGTCACACCCAGCCACTTGTCACCACCCTGTTGATTAACTACTTCAGGAGGAAGGAAGAAGTTTCTAGCAGGCCAAATTCTGATGGTCCTCGATTTGGCCTTTCAGAGCAGCGACCACCCCAGTTGGAAGCTCCTCTTTCTGAAAGTCCTCTCATGGGACACGAGGCACAGACAGGGGCTGGCCTTGGCCTACAGGTGTAGGACAGGAGGCTGTGGATCTCTGGTGGAAGAGAAGGATCCCCATTGACCTTTCAGGAGCCTCATCCTGACCTCATCATCTCATCCAAGGAGTTACAGCTTCCGAGGCCCTTTATCAAGCCCTGGATTTGAATTTACCAAGTAGCTCTGAGTTCATGCCCAAGTCAAGCTCTAGGTGACAGCAGCGTCCAGTCTCTGAAGGCGTGGGAACCAGTGGCTCCCTCGGGAGTCCAGACTGGGGTCGGGGTGAGAGATGATCCATGTTAGAGAGCCACAGAGCCCCCACGGTCCCTGCGAGGGGGTGGGAGGGTGACTTTCTCGTGTCCTTGGATGTAGGTGGTGGATGGGCTGGGACTGTTTCCAGTGTCTGCAGGGAGCAGAGTCCAACCTGCAACTCCTACAGCCTCCTTCCAACGAGCAGAGGCAGAGTTCTCCCTCACCCCCCACCAGCTCCCATGGAGGAAGAACGTTTCCTTTTCATTCATCCTCTCCGTTACTTGTCCCCCAGGATCACACATGAGTGACCCAAGGGCTGTGTGAAACCCAGTGAATGCCGCTTGAGATTGTGCTCTGGGATATGGTTCGTTTTCTCTGTTCACAGGGAGATACCAGACTAGCATGAGAAAGACGACCCTTGTTGGTAGGAGTAGGGTCCCGGCCTGGGTCAGCAGTCAGCTCTTCGGCTTGTTGGAAGCCCACGATGCCAGCTGGGCCATCCACTACCCACAGACCAGGATCCGCTGTCCCAGAAGCTTCTTGGAATAATGCTGGTCTACTTCCTGCTATGACCTTCTTGCTCCAAACCTCACTGATCTACTTTGAATTCCTAGGAAATTCAATTTCAAGGAAAGAAGATATATTCTTCTTGTAATATCTTTTTTTTTTTTTTTTTTTAACATTTAGGAATAACCCAGACCACCTCCTCGCCCTTCACATCTGTTCTCCTGGTGATCCTCTGCCGATGGTTGCTTCACAGAAATGATTTTCTCAGTGGGTTGTTGACCCTTAGATCTTGCTGACTGATAACCTGGTTAGGTTAAGGCTATTTTTTTCATCCTTTCCCCCCAGAGCCAGTGTCACCTGACCACAGCCTCATTGTGCTACCGCGGAAGGCAGCCATCTAGAAACCCATGGGAGTGAATTTACTGAAGAGAAAGAAGGCCTCCTCTGCACTTATGCTGTGGGCCGGGTGCGTGCTCAGCCATCGGTGCTGAGAAGACCTCAGAATCCCTTCTTTCCCTGATTTGAGTACTCTGTTCCTTACCTCCTGTCTGGGGCCCCTCAGCGGCTGCCTGGAAAGAGAGCAGTGGACTGCTGACTGACACCAGCTAATTCCGATCCGCACTGGCCCTGGGTACAATGCAGGGTAACATCGACCCTGCCCGTGTGCCTGCTGTGTGTTCACTGGGAGTTCGAGGAGGAGCTCCCTGGTCTCCACATTGTCAGATAAAAACACTAAAAACCTCTTCAGGTCATTTCTGAATCCAGTGTTTCTGCCTGGCTTCCAAGGACACTGGCTACCCTCATTCTTCTCTCTGTTTAGAACTCTGTGGGTGGCACTGGCCCACAGACCCTCTCCACGAAGGTGAGAAGGGAAAGCGAGGATGGCAGTCAGGCTTCTCATGGCCCAGATGGGCAGGAAGGGTGCCGAGGAAGGAGAGGCAGCCCTGTAAGAGCCTTCCCACGTGGGCTTGCCACCTGGGTAGCAAGCGCTGGTAAGGCACGTTGGAGGCCGTGGTGCTGAGCGTGCTGGGATGGGCATTCTCCGGGCCTTTTTGTCACATGGAGAACAAAACATAATAAAATGTTTTGTCCACAGTCTGGTTTCCAGGATGGTTTCATTATTCTGAATTTCCCTCTTGCTAGAATCACATGGGAAGGCCATTGCTCTTTGGCTGTCCTGTGGCATGGATCCATGACATCACTGTCACTTCTGTGCCGACAACAGGCATCCCTAATCAGTCAGAGAGCCTTTTCCTGATGAGCTAAATGCCACTTGAGAATCCCCAGTGTAGGGCCCTGGGTGGCTACCACCAGCCTGCAGAGCTGGCATACAGATTAATTGCCATTCTTAGCTTAAATCCCAGTGGGGAAAATATCCTTAGATTATTTTCCTTTCCCCTTTGGGACTGTCTTCCTTGATTTCTCTGTTCCCTCCTGCAGCACTACAGAAAAGAAAAAAAAATCACTCAAAGGGTCTCTCAGCTGAGGAACTGCAGAATCGCCACTTGGTGGCAGCAAAGGTCAACAGAACCATCCACAGATGTCAGCTTCTGGTAACTTGTGACCAGGGTCCTCCATGGTGAGAGTATCTGAATCCCATGACACTTCTCTTCATGTTTTTGGGATCTCACCATCTACGTTGTTATTGTCTTTTTACTTCTCTGTAGTGGAATGAACCTCAGGTGAGAGTAAATTCCTCTCCTATGCTGGAGTTCTTCCTGTCTAGTCCTGGCGTCTGGCATTCCAGGTCCAGGCTATCCTCAACTACCTTGGTGAGCTTGGCCCACTTTTGCCCCGTCTGGGCCTCAGTTTTCTCACCTGTAAGATGAGGGAATTTAACAGTGGGGCTCCATTATTTACCTACTAGGGCTTTCGTAAGAATCAACTGCAAACATGGTTTTGTAAACTACAAAGTAAAAAAACAGGAACTCGAGAAGGCAGGGAAGGCAATCGCTTATCTGATTTTTCTGGTTTCTTGCTTAGACTGCCCTTCCACTCTGTGAGTTCGGGTGGTTTGCCACACAGGGTGGCTGCAGTGGTGTTCCTTAGACCTTGTCTGTATAGGTGAAACCTGAGAACTACTGGTGCCTGGCCCCCAGGCCTTTGGATGTCCAAAGGGGCAGTCAATGCACATGCTTGGGGTAGGGTGGATACAGATACTGATGTGTTTTTGCTGATGCTGAGGATGTCTGATGAATTATGGATGCCAGCCCTTCAGGATGCTGACTTCTAGTGTCTCTTGTTGTCAGGCTGATAGCAAAGGGCTTTCCAGAAAACATTTGATCCAGCAGAGGAATCCAACCCATTAGTACCTGAGAGTTAGAAAAACCATCCAGAGAATCGCTAGCTCTTTCCGATGGCTAAGAGTGGGGTGGGGCCAGCTTGCTCTGAGATCAGTCCCTGCTGCCAGTTGTAACACCGGTCCTCAGTTCCTGTACCTCCTGCCTTCCAGCTCCCTGGACCAGCCCTTGGGTCCACACGCATACAGTCTGGAGACGCCCCTGCATCCTCTCTCTGTGTTGAGTCCAGACCCTGGCACTCCCTGCATGCTTCACCAGTGTCTGCTGAATGATTCCACGATACCCTCCAGTGTACAACAAATAAATGAAGACTTTTTTTTTTTTTTTTAAGATTTTATTTATCTGTCAGAGAGCACAAGCAGGCGGAGCAGGCTCCCCACTGAGGAGCCCGATGTGGGACTCGATCCCAGGACACCGGGATCATGACCTGAGCTGAAGGCAGACACTTAACTGACCGAGCCACCCAGGGGTCCCTATATGAAGACTTTTAAAATTTTTCTTTTAGTTTTTTTCAGCCCCCCATTCCATCTGATGGCGGTAAGAAGTAATTTTGCCATTTCATGGTAAAACTCAGAAACAAGTTAAAGGCAGGCAGTTCAGGGTTTTCTCCTTCTCCATCTCCTAGGAATGACTAGATTTTGGGGGGTGGGGTGTAGGGAGAGGCTGGCTCCTGGCTCTTGGGAGGTGCTCCATCCTATGCTGGAGTTCTTCCTGTCTAGTCCTGGGGTCTGGCCTTCCCTCCACGGTGGCTTCTGGGGAAGCATCTTTATTCCTCTTTGATCTTGGCCATCTGATCTGTGTCCATGCACAGCCTTCTCTGTCAAGCCCTAGACCCCCCTCTGTCCTCTGGGAAAGCCTTGGCTTCTCCATCAGAACTACTCAGGGGCTTGATGTATCAAGATACTTGATGTATCAAGCCCATCTTGGGG